TATATATATATATATATATATATATATATATATATATATATATATATATATATATATATATATATATATATATATATATATATAATAATAATAATAATAATAATAATAATAATAATAATTTTACATAGTTACACATATGTACATAGTTATTTATAAATTTTGTTATATATTACAGACTTATGTTATGCATTTTATGTTATGCATCTATTTTGTTATGTATTGTAGTGCAAATTGCAAAATTTTCTATAAATTTCTTTTCGATTTGGTTAAGGTAAGAAAGTTTGTTCGGTTGATTTTAATCCCAAAAATTTAAAAGTTCGGGTTTGGTTTGGTCTGGTAACAAGTAAAGTTCGGGTTCGGTTCAGTTCGGCCGTAAGTAAGGTTCAAGTTCGGTTCGCTCGGTTCGGATTCGGCTCGTTTTTATCTCTAGTTTTGAAAGTAATGTTAAAATTTTGACTATGGTTACATAATTATAAATCATTCAACATAATTTTTTATATTAACATTAAAACATTTCTTTTGCAGCAAAATTACTTTAACAACTGAAAGTTGTTGAAGCCATTTTTAAACAAAAAGAAAAAGTCATAATGAAGTAAATATTTTTTTTGGAGACTGAAAGATAAAACATTGATTAGTCTGAATTAAGTTTATTATGGATAGTATGCTTGGTGTTTGCAGTCACCTTAAGATAAAATTATTTTATAGTATTATTAAATATGGTCACAACTCTCCTTCATTTTTTTTATCCATGCTTTATCCATGACAACTAAAAAAAATTAGGTTTCGACACAAATGTGTTATACCCATTATTTTATATTTGCTTGTCAATACATTATGGCTACATACTCACATAATCAGAAACCAATTAAAACTTACCGTATTCTTCGGATGGTTTTTAACTTCAAAATATTGTAGAAGTAAAAAATAGGAAACTGAACACAACAGAGATTCTGAAAACAGGATCACTGCAAACACATGGCTAAGATTTCCCCGATATTGATGGGTACTGCTATCATCCAAAATGTCATTTGTTTCTTGAAGTGAATGTATTGATTTTCTTGAAGTGTTGAATGAAACGAGTTAATGGTGAAGTACTTTAGTATCCAAACTCTCAATTTCTACAATACCACTACTCAAGTATGTATCAGAGATATGTTCTATTGTAGCTTGCTCTATTTAATCTCTTGTAGACCTGTAAGCATGATAGCTCATAAAAAGAAATTCTCTAGTGCATGTTTGCTGCAAAAGTAGTTTTTCATTGTCAATATAAAAAAATCTATATGTTGAATGATGTATAATTATGTAACCAATCAAAATTTTAACATTGCATTTAAAACATAGCAAATAATAATTTTACCAATATTGTTTTTTTTTTTCTTTAATTTTGTTGGTATTATTCATTATTGCTAATTTATTTATGAAAAGAATTTGCCGTAGTGTTATACAAACCTATATTCTTCTCAATACTGGTCTGTATGCAATTGTTATTTTCAATAAATTACCAATAAAAACTGAAAAACTAATAAAAAAAGACTTTTTTAAATTTGAAATACAAAAAATATTTGTTTATATCAGGGCTGTGGAGTCGGAATCGGAGTTGAGGCATTTTTAGCGGAGTCGGAGTCGCCAAACAAAATCGCGACTCCGATTCCAATAATAGTAAAACTTCTCGGTATTGCACGTGCATGTACAAAACATTCAATTAACCTTATGTTCATCCTAAACCTCAAAGAGCGTTTCATAAATTTGTCAAAAAAGAAATTTTTAACTTATCGCCTAATATTTTTTAAAGAATTCAATGAACTTTTCAAAAATTTTGCTTCGTACTTTGAGTCGGAGTCGGAGTTGGAGTCGGAGTTGTGCTCAAAAAATTTCAACAACTGGAGTCGGAGTCGTTACTTTTTTTTATGACTCCACACCCCTGGTTTATATAAGTTTATATTTCGAATCACAATTTGTATCATATATGAGCAATCTATATTGTTAAAATTTTAAGTAATTTAATCTCAGAAAATAATATAAGAATATTTTTTCTTCAATTCGTTTCATGTTACTAATTTTAGTACAGTTTTAAAACAGTTAAGCGCACGCGCTTTAATACAACATTTCGCGCATTTTGCAAAAGCTCTCTTGGAAAATCAAATAAAGAGTATAGCGAAGAACTCTTCTCGAGCTTTTCACCACAAATGTAAAAATCTCGGGCGAACTATAAAAGAACTATAGGACACAAAAATTATGGAGAAAAGCTAAAATCTGCAGTAGTGAATTTTAATTTTAAGGATCAGTAGAACTAATATAATTTGTGTTATATATGTATTTGTTATATGTGTTTTTTATAAATGAATATTATAATAATGGCTAACTTTAATTTAACTTAGGAAGAAAAAATGCATAAAATTTTATGTTTTAATTTTGAAAATATGCATACTTAGCACTTAGTTCAGATTTTTCTGGCAACTTAAATTGTGTTTACTTATGCATATGATTAATTAAATACAAAAAAAAAAAAGAGTGGGGAGAGTTTCAACCTGGCGGTCAATTTGGAGAATCGTGAAAAAAAGGAAGTGATGGAATAGATACTCAAAATTGTAAAGGACAAGCATACAATGTTACTGTCATATCTGATTACTTAACTGGTGTTCATATGTGCGTTAAGGAAATCAACGGCAAAGAATAATTTGTTACGTGTACAAACAATTCACTAAATTTAGTAGGTGTGCTTGCTGCTGTGTATTTTGTTACATTTTTTAGAACTATGAAGCAGTTATTCACATTTTTCTCTTTATTGACTCATTGCTGGGATATTTTGAGTTCCGTCACTAGTCAGAGTGTAATGATAAAGAAAATGAGCTGAGAAAAAAAATCTTTTTGTCCTTTGAAAGATTGATCCAAGAAATTGCTACATGATTTAAACAACTTTATGCATTATATGCCATTCTTACTCCATCAATACTTTTGAATGGTAAATACGAATTTAATTTTATGGGTCATAACCATAATGGCATAAATAAATAAGAGTTCCTTGTTAAAAGGAAAAGTCTTTAAAGTTTTTTTTCTGTTGTTGCATTACAAAACAAAATAAAAACATGGATGAATGGCAATCTACTTGAACTCTTGCAGTTTATTCTAAATTACAAGATTAAATGCTCATGCTTTAGTTTTTCAAAACTAAAATTGATAAAAAAATAATTTTCGGTGCAAATCTGATTTTTCCCCGGGCGGCATAAACCCTTGCTAGCCACTGATTGTTAAAAATATAAAAATACTAATATTAAGATTTGTATTTGGAAAATGCCTCAAAATACAAATATTTGTATTTGTATTTGGATAATGCCGATTACATATATTTGTATTTTGATTTATATTTGGAAATCTAAAATCAACTTAATTTTATTTTTATTTATGTTTGATCAAATGTATTTGACCCCAAACCCATAATCTTTATATTCATTAATCTTTTTGAAAAAAAAAATTTAGGAACTTTTTTGAAAAAAATGTTAAAAAAAAAAAACCCCTGGTTAAGTGAGCCTTCGCACTATTAAACGTGTTTATAATAGACCTGTTTGCTCAAAATGGTTAACGTAATAAATATTTTTATCGGAAATGTTTATTTTATATTTATGAATTTGTTAAATAGAATTCATTTTTGCAAGTTATTTTAAAGTTAAATATGTTATATTTATTATAAAAATCCTTTTAAATTGATTAGAATATAGTCATTTTGTATTAAATTTATTATTTTGTTTATTTATGCTAGGTTCATTATTGTTTATATTTTATATATTTATCCAAAGACATAAAATTTTTTAAAGTACAACACTTTGCTGATGACGCAAATCTTCTATATCTTAACAAATTAATCAATAAAAATATGATCTAAAAAAAATTCTGCAAGTGGTTAAATGCCAACAAAATTTATTTAAACACAAGTAAGACTTAGTTGTTCATTTTTAAACCAAGGTTAAAAAAACCTGTTCATCAATTTAAAATAAAATTAAGCAGGAAAATTTTTTTTTCTCTAAAGTAACTCTTGTAAGTCTTGGAATAAAGATTGATGATTAACCTGGAATAAATCATGTTAATCACTTATCATTAAAATTAAACAGATCCATTGCAATTTTATCTAAATTTAGACATTTTGTTGACAAAAAAAACACACTAAAATCTATTTATTTGGCTTTATTTAGTTCACACCTCACTTTTGGTTGTTTATCTTGTGGACAATATTTATTCATCTATTAAAAAATGTTGCACTTTTATTCAGAAAAGAGCTTTACAAATAATCAAATCTGTACCACATGATTCTCACACAAATAAATCATTTAATCATTTGTCATTCATTTAAGGATCTCCAAAAATTAATTTTTTTTTATCGTATAAAAATTGAAAACTGTCTTTCCATACACAGTTCCATTAATAGTAAGATGTCATCTATCTTTACAGATAGGTTTACTTTATTAATAAAAAAGCTCATACCCAATCTACTAGGTTGTCTCAAAGAGGTAGATTATGCGTTCAAACTTTTGATACAAAATTTTATGGTAAATATTCATTTAAAAACTCAGCAATTATTGACTGCAATTGCCTACAAAGCAATATTAATGCTGCTCATCTTTATAAATATATAAAAAAATGAATATAAAAAGGTTCACTCTCTTATAGCCTGGCTACAAAAGAGTGAACCTTCCAGTTGATATTATTTTTTAACACCTATGTATGATATTTACTAGTAAATATATATTTATTGTCGTTGTTTTTTTGTATTATTTTTAAATGTGTTATGTTGGAAATTGCAATTCAATTTTTTTTTGTTTTTAACTTTTATTTAAAACAGAGTTTATATCAGAACTATAGACTTGAATTTAATGGTTTTAGTATTCTTATTTTTATAGGTTACAAAATATTTTGATAAGTTATCTAATATATCAAAAATAATGATACAGTTGTTAAGCTTACTGTAATGGTTTTACATGATTTATGTGATGATATATGGTTTTATGATATTAAAATTCATTTTTTATCTTGTGGTTCAATACAATGATGAATATTTTGGCTACTTTGATATTACTAGTAACACAAGTTCATCAAAGTCAATGTTTTGTTGAAGGATTATATTGCGGTGAAGAGAGTTGTTATGATGTACTTCAAGTTTCTAGAGATGCATCCAGAAGTGATTTGTCAAAAGCTTATCGTAAACTTGCAAAACTGTATCACCCTGATGTTAGTAAACATGAAGATGCAGATATCAAATTTCGTAAAGTTGCTACGGCCTATGAAATTTTGAGAGACGATGAACAGAGGAAAGATTATGATTATATGTTAGATAACCCTGAAGAAGCATACTACCATTATTATAAATATTACAAAAGAAGATTAACACCTAAAGTTGATGTGCGTATTGTTGTTGCTGTAACTATAACAATAATATCTATTTTGCAGTATTTACAAAAGCGTCATCGCTATGAAGAAGCTATAAATTATGCAATGCAAAATCCAAAGTTTCGAAATCAAGCCATGCAGGTTATTCATCAAGAGGGGCTTCTTTCTTCTAATATAAATACTAAGAAAAATAAAAATAAGAAAAGCAAGGATGAGCGTAAACAAGAAGAAGAGAGAGTTTTGAGAGAAATTGTTGAAGATTCTATTGATATAAAAGGTGGATATAGTAAGCCAACTTACCAAGATGTTTTATGGATACAGTTAGTAGTTTTACCATTTTATTTAGTTGTTTATGTTAAATGGCTTCTTAGGTGGATATGGAAGTTTTGGTTTTTAAAACTAGAATATGGAATGGAGGAAAAGGAATATTTGACATATAAAGGATTAGGTTTTACTCAACAGTATTGGGAAGCTCTTGATAAATATTCCAAAGAAAATTATTTGAGTCGTGACCTTTGGAAAAAAGAAAATCTTGAATCGTATAAGCTTGAGTTAGAGCAAGAATATAGAGTAAAACTTGCAGAAAGTGGTCGTCATAAAATGTGGAGGAGGTATATGAAAAAAGGTGGACCAGGTCAAATGTCATTTGCAGAAGATTAGGATATAATAATATAGTTAATATTTTTATATTAGAAAATTTGGTTATAAAAATTTATAGTAATAAAACTTTTCAAGTTTTTGAATGAATTTATTTTGGTTATATTTCATTTTTGTTATAGTGGTTTCACTTACTTTTGCAGTCAAAATAAAAAAGTTTGAAAATAAAGATATTAAAAAAAAGGGAAATGACAGTTGTCTTTTTTTTATTTATACTCATTTAATACTTTTTTTTTGTCTTGCTATAATAATAATAATAATAAAAATAATAATAATGATGGTTGCTAAAATTATTACATAACAATTTGCTGAAATGCACAATGTAATGAAGCGTAAAGTTTAATAGTCTTTAATATAAATCAACAAAATGTTTAACTAATCTAGCTTTGAAAACTTGTCTTTGCAGATAGAACTTTTGGTAATACCCATTTCGGTCTTCTTTCTTATATAATTATGCTTTAGTGATGTTTTTTTATTGCTAACAAATATTTAAAAGACTTCACAAAAATATGTATTATAATCAAGCCAACATTATCGGGGACTTAGCAGTAAAGTATTTTATTCAATTCAAAATCTAACTATACCATCTCCAGCTTTATATCCTTTAATCATTTGGATTTTTAATTACCAAATTGCCTGTTTTACTGGCAAAAGGTCTTACTTTAACTCTTTTACTTAAAGAAGTTTTTTTTTATATTTTTTTTTTCAGATTTAACGCCACCGTGAACAACAACGGCTCCAATAACGGTAATTGTTTTACAATTGCAAAATAAAAACTAGCTAAATAAATAGATAATGGTTAAACAGTTGTATCAGTGACCATTATCATTGTACGCTCTAGTTAATTACCTAAAGATGTTTTTGCGTCACCAGTTTCCAATGCGATTTTAAGAGAATTCAATCATAATAGCATTCTTATAACTTTGATTCTAAAGTTAATTATTTCTTTTAGGAATGGTAATAAAATAATTTTTTTCATAACTCTTTCACTTGAACCATTGGGCATTTGTACTATTATATCTACATTAAAGATCTATAAGTCGCGTTATAAAGTTAGCATATATATTATAAACTGCCAGGAATTATAGTTTACAATCTGCTTTTAAATTAAAGGTATCAATGCCTAGACACCGTACTGTCCATTACACTTATGAATTTATATTCCTCATTTAAAATGAATGAATGTTCTTTCTAAAATAAAATCTCTTAATCCATTTTTAAACTTCCATCACTTTCGATACTATTACTACTACTAATATTATTCTTATTGATAATATTATTATTCTTAATAATGCTTTTTTTATTATTAATATAATGTCGTCATCAATTTATTTTTTATTTTATTTACTTATTTTATTTTACTTAAGCTTCTTTGTTTTTTATTTTAATATTTGAGATGTTATTTTAATTTTTTTTTCTTATTTTGATGTCTATCCATTAACTAGTTTGTAATTATGCAAAAAATAACGGTAAAACTTATGATTATGTTGTAAGTTTGAATAAAATACAAACTCATGATTTAAGTTTTAATAAATTGGTAAAAATAAACCCCTAATGCTCTAGTTCCAGATCTTCATTTGTTAAAAATGCAAAATATTAACCGAAATTTTACCAGGCCGTTGTTTCTGTGGTATAATCAAAAGGTCGTTTTAAAATAAAATTTCTAGGATATAATCAAATTGTTAAACAAAATAAAGTTTTTCACGCAAAGAATAAAGACTTTAAAAAGTTAAATTTTTTACGCAATTTTTTCCGGTTTTTTCCCAAAGTTGTTACAAATAATTTAAAATTTTTAAATAAAATAAAATATACCAAGAAGTAAAAACTACCAAAATGCCAAATGACTAATTTATTTTATATATACATAGAACTATTTTTTTAATATTCAAATAAACAAATTATTTCATATACCAATAATAAAGATTGTTCGAATAAATTCCTTCTTTGCCCTTTTTTTGTATCAAATTACATTTTTATTTTCCGGCTCGAGGGCGTGCATCTCTTTTGCCTCCTCTTGGTAAAAAGCTTTGGGGAAACTCTCCTAAGCTTTTTGAGCTTCTATCATTGTAGTAATTTCTAACATCGTTAAGAATTTTAGCTTCGTTGGCAGTCATCTCAGCAACCTTTACAATGTACTCGTCCAGAATATTTAAAATGTCGCTTTCATTTGAGTCAGTAGCATCACGGTTAGGCATGGCCATCACAATAGATGTTATAAGAAGAAGCGTTGCAACTGTTAAAGACAACATTTTATTTTTGTATGTGTGTATGTTTGCTTTGACTTGTACTTGCAAATGTACTCGTTTAAGAACGTTTATGAATTTTCAAACGAATTTCAATTTATGCTAAACTTAGGTACAAAAAAAGTTCCATCCTGTCACGTGGGAGATGGCAATATTTTGAAGACTCGGGGTGCACAATAATTAATGAATATGTAATAAAATATTATATTTATTAATAAAGTTTATGTGATACGAAAAAAAAAATTGCTTGCATTACAACCCCCTGATTGTATGAAAAAGTATATAAAAACTTATCGTGTTATATAGAACAAAAAAATAGAAATAAACAGATGCGAGATTTAAAGATTTTCTTATCGGACGTTAAAAAACTGTGTAAATCAATTTGCCACATATGGTGTTTGTAAGCTTATCTTGAGTTTATCGGACATCAAAGTTGTTATTTTTTCGGAAAATTAAAAAAACAAAACAAAAAACAATCAACTACTTTGATCAAATAGTTGTTTTTTATTTTTCATTTCTTTTTAAAATTTAAATTTATTTTAGCATAATTAAAAAAATAGTTCCGTCGATAATTTTTTTTTTTTTTTTTTTGGCATTTTAAAACACAAATTAAGTTGTAATAAAACGATTATTAAGATTACGTAATTAGCAATTGCGAGGCATCTTCCCATTAAAGCTGGCTTTTCTTGTTAGTGAATCTTCTTGATTAAATTTGTTTCTAATGCATTTTCATTTCCAAAAAATAAAAAAAATTATGAAAATTTTTTTGGACCTAAATCGAATGTTTAGTATAGTTAAGTTTAATGTAGTTAAATAAAAAATTAATTTTTCGATTACGCAATATTTTTTTATAATTTTTAGATTATATTATTTTTGAAAGTTATAACAAAATCTTTTACATAAAATGAGGCAAATATTTGAATGAAATGAGATGGCAGAGATACGATAGAGCAACATCAAAGAAAAAAAGTGGAAATGTCTGTGTCGCTATTTCTTTAGTATTAGCGTGTTTAACAAAAAAAAGGAAACTGATGGTAAATTTTTGTTTTTGATTTTAAACTTTTCTCTTCTTAGTTTATTGCAGGCTTATTTGGAAATGAGTCATCTTAAAATATTTAAAATGAGTTTATTCAAATCAAAACCGTAAGGTTCTATGACTAAACTAACTGTCTGAATTGAGAGGTACAAATTTTGTGGTCAAAGTTATTCCCCAATTTTTTTTAATCAAAATGAAGCTCAAAAATTATTTTTATTAACTTTTGAGTTTTTTGGTAAAAGATAAAAAAAAAACACCTTTTGCAAAAGATAACCTATATTTAGATAATTTTTTTTTTTTTGATATTTAAAGTTTCATTTGATGCTTTGACATTTAGATCTTTTATTTATCAGAATGGTTCTTCTAAAAAAAATTTAGATTTAAAGAAGGACACAATTAGCTTAACAAAATTCGATATCATACTTACCCTCGTTTCTTAATGTTAAAAAGACCTCACAAGACTGTTGGTTTCCAAATAATTTTGAAACCAACTTTGTGATTTTGAAAAAGTCATATTCAAATCATTTAAAAATAATTTGAAACCAACAATCAAAAATTGTGATGTAAACTGATTAAAGTTGTTCCTAATGCATTTTTATTCCGAACGCTAAAAAATATTATAAAACTTTTCGGATTTAAGGCGAATGTAAGTTAAAATTTGGAACACAACTTTTGTTTATTTTGGTAAATGTTATTAAACAATTTAAGAGCATCTTTAAATTATTTTTAAATTTATTTTTGTTTTAATGTTGTTATAGCAATTAAACTGTGATGTACATTGATAATAAATTGCTATATTTATATAACTTTTACGTAAAAATATAAGAACCTTTTTTAAAATTTTACAAAAACATTTATGATATGATTCATGTTGTTTTAATATTAATTTTTATATCAATAGTTTTAAAATCGTCGTTGTTTTAAACTAATCGTTGATTTAAACTCGTCCTCTATAATGTTGCTTTTGATAAAACTAATTTACAAAGTCTGACAGAAAAATAAATAATATTTATAAAACTAATTTACAAAGTCTGACAGAAAAATAAATAATATTTATAAAACTAATTTACAAAGTCTGACAGAAAAATAAATAATATTTATAAAACTAATTTACAAAGTCTGACAGAAAAATAAATAATATTTATAAAACTAATTTACAAAGTCTGACAGAAAAATAAAAAAAATATTTATATTCTCACTTTTTGAGTAATCAAAAAAATTTACTTCATAAAATTGCGTCAGCATTTTTGTTGTTTGAGATCTCTCAGGCATGAAGCAAACTTCAAACTTTTTTATACTTAAATTAAATAAAAATACTTTGCAAAAAATTGCAATGATTGGAAACAAAAAAATCCCATAATATGTGTTCCCAACCCAAATCCAAAATGTGGACAACAAGAGTTTTAAACTGTTACTTTTCTAAACTTAATTTCATCAACAAACTTCAAACTTTATTTAATAATACTAACGTTATAACCATGTAAAGTTTCCAACACCCCTAAAATGAGAGGTCAAACTTAAACTTATTTTATAAACTTTATAAAATTATATACATTTTTAAAAACTAAAATATTGTTAAATCAAATTGGAATCAGTCAATTTTTACAATAATGTACTATATTTATAAAAATGGTATAAATTACTCAATAATTTGTCGCCCTTACATTTAGGGTTGGAAAGAAAAGTATTAAAGGTTTTATGTTGACTTAACGCTTGAAACTTTCATTAAATACTATAATTAAATAAAAATACTTTGCGCAAAGCTTTGTCGTAATGACCATAGGTATTGTTTTTGAGGTATTTTAGAAACACTTCTACTAAAAGTATTTATTAGTTACATAAAAACTTGAGTTTGGTGGCTATTAATCTCATGTCTTTTATGAAAAGATTAAGTGTAATTTAATTTGTAATTTTAGTAATAAATGAAAAATAGTAAAATGATAGTTATAATTACAATAACAATAATAGTAATAACAATAATAATAACAATAAAAATAATAATTATAATAATAATAATAATAACAATAACAATAATAATAATAACAATAAAAAATAGCATATTTTTTTATTATATAAACAACAAAAAATATATGTTAATATAATAGTGTTTATTGTGAATTCTATGCTTTATCGAAGTAACTATGGATGCAATATTATACATTTATTGTTTTCTATATGTTTACTGTTTTAATTTCTTTGGTAAAAGTTATTAAATGTCAAGCCAAACCGTCAAAGCCGTCAAAAATTTAAAGTTACTATTTTTTTCTTAGTTTAAAACCTGAAAATGCGCACTTTCATGGAACTGTGACGCAGACTATATTGAGATCTAAAAAAGTAAACAGACATTTTGAACTTTACGATTACTCTAGGTTTTTTTAAAGAATGTTTCTAAGTTTTTTTTTAGAGCATCAAAAAAATTAACATGTCCTGCAACCTTATATTGTTAAGTTGAAATCTACTGTGTTGAGAAATTTACAGAATTTTTAACTTCAAAATTGATATTGAAAAAAAAAATAGCTTTAAACGTTTTTTAGATATTTTCTTTTTACAAAGTTGACTGTAATTCAAGTTTAATAAAATACCCATAAGAGCTACGGTCAGCTGTTATATAATACAAATTCAAAATGAATTAAATAAATTTTAAAAGTCCATAAAATGCAACATCAAGCAGCAGCGATAAAGAATTTTCAAAAAACAAATAAGACTTTCTTCATCTTACTTAGGTATCACAGAAAAAACTTTTTACACAAGTGATTGCTCAGATTATCACAGAAAAAGTCTCAATTTTCTGGAAGATGTTGTACAAGTCTGAAAAATGTTTCTGGAAGATGTTGTAAAAGTCTGAATAACGTTTCTGAAAGAGGTTGTACAAGTCTAAAAAAAGTTTCCGAAAGATGTTGTAAAAGTCTGAATAACGTTTCCAGAAGATTTTGTACAATTTTCTGCAAGATGCTGTACAAGTCTAAAAAGAACCATGTAAAACCAGTTAGAGTAGCGAAAAGAATCATTTCATTCTGACTCAATTATATTTTACATTAAGTAGTGTACTTTAGTTTTGTGTTATGCACAGATGGTTGATTTCATAAACAATTCCAAGAAGAGGCGATCAGAAGTTTGATTGCTCAACTTAGTTTATATAAAAACATTTGTTTACTTAAGGTTACATCACACTTCTTTTAAAGATTCAGCGTTTGTTCTTAACTGACATATTAGTTTCATAGTATATAAAACCATTAAAAAAAGTAATTTCTAGTGCTTCTTTATACTTTAATACATTAAACTTTCAAGTCTTCAAAGAATATCTAGAGACGAAATTGATCCATAAAATTTTTATTGGTCTCTCTTGTGATACCTTTTATAAATTACCGCATGTAATGTGTTTCTTGAAATTTAAAAATAATTTTTTTTTTAAATACGAATTCGATTTTTATCATATAAACAAAATCTTGACAAAATTAACTTTACTTTTAACATTACTAAAAGCATTGTTAATGTTAAAGAATTAAATAAATTGCATTTTTTTTTTGAAAAGTAACGTATCTGCACAAAAATGTACATGGTAAGTAATTCTACGGGGCAAAGTTATTTCGTCCTAAAGCTCCCCCTTCCCTTCCCTTCCCTGCTATTGAACATGCTTAAACCATTTTTTATTATTATTATTTATTGTTTAATTTCATACAGTTTTTAAAAAAATTGAAAAAATACAAATGAGTATATTAATAAAAATAAATAAAAAATAAAGAATACAAAAACTAAAAAAAAACAAAGAATTAGGACTTGACGCTGAGAACCGCTAAGATTTAAAACTAAACATTTTTAATAATATACTATATTGTACTATACTAGGTCTATAATAGGGCCACTACTTTTTCCCATTTATGTCAATGATCTGCACAATGCCTCAAATTTGAAGACAGTAATGTTTGCTGATGATACAAATCTTTTTCTATCCGATAAAAATATCATTACACTATTTAATGAAGTCAACATAGAACTAATTAAAATTTCAAATTGGTTTAAGTCAAATAAACTATCAATTAACTTGGAAA